GTTTAATATTTAATATTAAATCTATAGTTGGTAATTCTAGAAATTAGAATGGGACATGGCGTCACGTTTACCCGCCGGTGTGGGTCAAAAGTTGCAAATGTGGGTTGCTACGAAATGTTAGCCCAAAAAAGTTTTATAGCCCAAATATTGAAAGATTCTTTTTGGATAAATTTATGGTCCACAATCTAGGACGGACAAACAATTTTAGATAGGAATTTTGACAAGTGTGACGGTTGAGAATGACGATAGGGACCTCAACCACAATCTGGTACTCCATTCCTGACATAGCCATATGTATCAACATTCGTTCCCATGCTTTGGTACACGTGACACCTGACTTTTTCTTTGTTCTCAGAAACTTGTTATAAATTCAAACTTATCCTAACCAAGCACTAATTAATTCAATACTGGCTTTACATATATCCAAGCCATTCATTAATTAATCTTTAAGGTAGTACAAAATTCCAATAAGTAGTTCCAAACAGTACTAAAAGGGAGGTGAGTGGGACTAAGGTTATTATTATAGAAATGGCCAGTACTAAAATTGATGACAAAGTCAGTATTCCTGGTCCAGTTACTGGGACTGGGAATTCACGCTTCTTAATTGTGAGCCACGAAAATGGAGGAATTTGGGACCTCGTACGCTTCGGCGTATGGGGCAACAAAGAAAGCGGTGATAAATTTCTTCATTATTCCGCCGGCGGTGGACTCCTTGAGGAACATTTAGTGCGTTCCGACGATAGTGGCGGCGGCGACGACAGAGGTGGCGAGGTGCCTGATCATAGATGGGTTATATTTGTGTCCATTATAGTGAGGAAATTAATCGCCATTTTCGGTAAACCAATGGAGTGGACTGGCTATCTCGTGGAGTTCTTCCTCAACCTTTTCTCTCTCAATGGCAATTTTCTTGGTCTTCTTTACAATATCTTGCATGGTAATACTAACAGTTTCTTACTTTTTTTAAAACTTTTATATGTATATATATATATGTGCACATTCATGTATGCATGTATATTTTGTATTATTATACTCGGAACGGTTTTGGTTGTATGAGTTAGTTGGGAATTAAGGATGTTGATTCATAAGTTATATATCAGTCACATGTTCCATAAGGTGCTGATTTTGCTGTGGATGATTTAAAAGTAGCTCTTTTGTTCCGCATTTTGGAAAGGCATTCTTATAAAAGTGATATTCTTGCCATTTGGAAGATGCTCATGATTGATTTGAATATTCACTTTCGAAATTAAGGAACAAAAGTATATTTCCTGTAACAATCTGCCGTTATTTCAATGCTTCCATATTTCCCCCTGCTATGCACTACCCTCTAGTTACCATCACTTGACACTTCAGCTACTAAATGATGATTGAAAGTGAGGTAAAACTGAGGACAGACTTATATTTAAGTTAAATTTTTTCCAACAGAATACGTGAGAGCAGTTCTAAAAAGTGAAAAACGTGAGTCTCATGACTTTTCTGAGTTTGTTAATCTAGATCAGAGTTCTCCTTTCAAGAAAGTGAACATCTATTTTGAACTAACATAAAGTTTGAGTAATTTGGTACGGCAAGGATTTAGCCAAAAGTTGCTGCTCTAAAAATTTCTGTCATTTGCGTGGAAAATGATTATGAATTGTCTGTATATGAGCATGGTGAGTATCATAGAAATGTTTATTTCGCATCAAATGCTTGTGTTTCTACATTTGCATTACTGAATATGATTATATGCCTACTGAGTGCTGACTCAAAACATTGTTTGGTGTTTCCGGTACTGGGAAGACGAATTGTGTCCATTGCCATTAAGACCTGAGTTTTGTATTTTCTATATTTATCGATTCATGAATGAAATGTTTCGTGGAAACAGGTAAGGTAGTGATGCCACATAGAGGCTCTGAAACGTTTATAAGTGCTATTGGGCATCTAGATGGGCGAATAAACCTATACAAGAGCGAGACATTGACCAAGGAAATTGGAGAACCTGATTTCTGGCAGAAAATTGGAATAGGACACCGAGACCTTATGGACCTCTGTATGATGGCTTCAAAGTTGGCTTACGAGAATGAAAAGGTCGTCCGGAATGTTGTAAATCTTCACTGGAAGGTTATGTTATGATTCGATTTTTCCTTTTCTTTTCATTTTGATTGTTCTTTTACTCTAACTGATGGGCTGCAATAAGCTTAATACTTTCACTGCTTTCCATAACAGATGCATTTTGTGGATTTCTACAATTGCTGGAATGGTGAGAATTCTACCTTTAGCTTGCCTTTCAGTCATATAAACTTACACATCCTTTTCCAGGGGATACTTAATCNTTCCATAACAGATGCATTTTGTGGATTTCTACAATTGCTGGAATGGTGAGAATTCTACCTTTAGCTTGCCTTTCAGTCATATAAACTTACACATCCTCTTCCAGGGGGTACTTAATCGATTACGACTGGCAAGTTGCCAGCTTTCAAGGGGAAAATAAAATTCCATTGCAAACTCGCCTTCCTTCCCTTTTATTTGTGCATCACTTTTAGTGATTTATTTTCTGCATATATCAAAGCAAATTTTGACTCCTTTGCTTCGTCTTTGTTGTCAATAGTTATGGCATTTTCTGATTGGCTGGACTATTTGCTTTTGTTCCTCTGTACTTTCTGAAACAGATTTCGAGAAAGAGATGTCCACCCAGGTTTTTCTATTATGCGATAAGCCAAAAGATGCAAACTTGATATTAGTTAGCTTCAGGGGCACAGAGCCATTTGATGCTGATGACTGGATCACCGATTTTGACTACTCTTGGTACGAGATTCCAAAACTGGGGAAAGTACACATGGGATTCTTGGAAGCCTTAGGTTTAGGGAACAGAACAAATGCCTCCACATTTCATGAACAACTGTTTGTGAATAATCTAAAGTTCGCCAATTTAGAAAATGTTCATGCAACTATTCCTCCTTCAGAAAGTTCTAAATCTTCTACCTCATTCAGTGATTCTGATGCACACACGGGGTCAGATCTGTCCTCTGACTCAGAACGGCCTACTGATACTCGCAAAAAGAAATTCAGGCTAGAAATTCCAGAGAGGACTGCATACTATGTTGTTAGAAGTAAACTGAAAAGGCTACTCAAAGAGCACAAGAATGCAAAGTTTGTTGTTACAGGCCATAGCTTGGGTGGAGCATTAGCTATATTATTCCCGGCAGTCCTAGTACTGCATGAAGAGGTGGATGTCATGGAACGATTATTGGGAATATACACATATGGGCAGCCAAGGGTTGGGAATAGGCAGTTAGGAAGGTTTATGGAAGCCCATTTGGAACATCCAGTACCGAAGTACTTCAGGGTTGTTTATTGCAATGATCTTGTTCCAAGATTACCTTATGATAATAAAACATTCCTTTTTAAACACTTCGGGATTTGCCAGTACTACAACAGCTTATACATTGAGCAGGTAATGTTTCGATGCCCTATTCTTCCTGCATTTATCTTTTCTCGATATTTCTCTTCAAAGCTCTGTTGTTCTTTTAGAAATGTCAATAGGCATGCAATGTTGAAGAGACTAAGTAAATTTAAGTGTGTTCTCTCTAAAAGTGGTCACACACTTCGACGTTGTATTATAGCAGGCAGAGGTCTCACCGCCTCCCATTATAAAAATTGATTGTACAGGGGCGCGCTGAAGAGACTAAGTAAACAAAATGTGTTCTCTCTAACAACTTAAACTTTTAGATGAGGTGGTAACACTCTTCAACATGCAACATAGTTTCCTCTAATATGCATTCAAACTTCTCAGATGATGCAAGTTTTCTCTAATATGCAGTCAGCTTCATTAATCATAGTGTTCATTGTGAAGATGAATGTGTGTGCTGTGTATTGATATCTTTTCCTTGTTATGCATAGAATATCAATGAAGAACCAAACCCGAACTATTTTGGGATGAGATTTCTGGTACCACTGTATCTGAATGCTGGTTGGGAGTTAATCAGAAGCTTTACAATGGGTTACATGTATGGATCCGAGTATGAAGAATGTTGGGAATCAGTGATGCTTCGCGCGTTAGGACTTTTTCTTCCTGGTATTTCTGCCCACAGCCCAGTTGATTATGTGAACTCCATCAGACTTGGAAAGGCGAGAAGTACACAGATGTCATCCTTTTAGAAAGCTTTTTGTCGCAAATAGTGGTTTTATAGCTGGACAATATCATGCATTCCTTATGAGGCTTATGCAGTATGTGTCCTGTTTGATTTTTGAAGGTTTGCTTTTAGTGTTTATGTATTGACAATAAACTTATTTCAGTTCTTTTATTAAGAGATGGATTTGCATAAAAGATATTGTTCCTCTGGTAATCGTATTAAACTTGTTATGTCTTCAGTGAGGCGAATAGATATAAGATTGTTAGATGGTGTTAATAATTTGGTGACATTGCAATTTGCAAAACTGTAAAAGGATTTTTGCTTTACTATTTTGTCTATGTTGACTATATCCCGTGAACTATGAAAATGAAACAAGCAAGTAACACTCTATATATTGTTTCCTTGCTAGAACACTCATTCAACTTTTCTTTTTCACCCGAGAGAAAAAAATATTCACTATATTTAAAGTCGGTATTATTCGTAAGAACAAATTATAATCTCGAAAAGAGTAAATTGCACGTGGTAAAAAAATTGTAAGATTTTAAATAGTCTCTATAAATTAGGTACAAACTTAGGCATAAAAAAAAGGTTGATATAAATTACCTTTTATATAAAAAATGTAATTTACAGAAGAAACAATTACTACTACTACTACTAAAAAACATGGGTCAGGTTGGATTACGTGGATCCTCTATGACCCAGTAACCTGCTCGGTGGGCCGGGCCTGANAGTGGTCAAATATTTTAGAAGGAATAAGCAAAGCGAAAAAGACATAAAAAGAGATTTTATCCACCAAGTGTGGCTATGGTAGGAATAGCCAATGGGGGGACATTTTTGGAGTCTAGCCAAAACATAAAGGCCAAAACATAAAGAGTTACTACGGCAAATTGAGTTGGAGTAAGAATTAAAAGAAGATACTACTGTAGTAACATATTTCCAGCTAATAGCAAACAAATGACCCATTAACGGAAGTGGCCAAACCACCAAAAGCAGGCATCTCCACCAAATATTAGTTTTTTATATACAAAAGATTCAACACAAACAGTTGAGTACTTCTTTAATCCTTCCTAATTCTTTGTCAGGGGTATCTTTTTGTGGGTAACGGCCAAACCACCACAAATTTCCAGTTCCCACTTTTAACTCTTTAACTTCAATTCAACTAGTTTATTTCCTTTTGCTTCCTACAACTATAACATAGTCTTGGTTTCAGAATCCACAACTTGAAATACAACTCCTAGGCGGTTTCATTCCGAGGTAAGAAATGATTTTGCTTTTCTTTGGTTACATCAGCTGAATGCTTTACTTGAGAAAAGCTTTCTCTTTTTTTCCTTTCTTTGATGTGTACCGCCCGTTTATGATCTTGGTATTTGCTCTTTTTTGTACTCGTCCGGACTTTAACTTGATTTTGTGGGTGAAGTATTAAAACAAGTTTTATATGGACTGTAAAAGCTAGAATCTTTTTTACTTTTGCATATAAATTTGTATAATAAATGCTTATGAACCTGCATATAAATTTGTATAATAAATGCATATGGCCATTTGAAAAAGAAAAGGAATTCCACATAGTATTTAGATTCACAAGTGGGACAATCTTCTTACACTGAAATATCTTTATGTCAGGCTTAATTTACCGCTATTTTGCTCAGTAAAATGCCCCAAATTGGACTTGTTTCTGCCGTTAATTTGAGAGTCCAAGGTAATTCAGCTTATCTTTGGAGCTCGAGGTCTTCGTTGGGAACTGAAAGTCAAGATGGTCGCTTGCAAAGGAATTTGTTATGTTTTGGTAGTAGCGACTCCATGGGGCATAAGTTAAGGATTCGTACTCCCAGTGCCACGACCAGAAGATTGACAAAGGACTTTAATCCTTTAAAGGTTTGTTTTGAATGCGAAAGTGTGATGATGGATTTATGGTCATGGGCATATATTCTCTAAAATAAGAGAAGTATATCTTGCCATTCAGGTAGTCTGCATTGATTATCCAAGACCAGAGCTAGACAATACAGTTAACTATTTGGAGGCGGCGTTATTATCATCATCATTTCGTACTTCCTCACGCCCAACTAAACCATTGGAGATTGTTATTGCTGGTGCAGGTGATTTTTTCCGGTCATCTATATTTGTAGTCTTCATTTCTCTTTCTTCGGAAGGAAGATCATTCTATTAGTTGTATTATCACTAGAATATTTACCTGGGCATTCTTTTCTGATTAACTGTTTTGGACCGCAAAATTTTAGGTTCTTACTTCTTCGCCATTTTGCAACTAATCAACAAGTCCCAGCTGATTAGATTAGGAGCGGTTTGAAAATTCGTTTGTTTTGATCTATTTTTGCCGTCACTCCATTTATATACATATCTATTCTCTCTTATCATCTGAGCCATGATAAGCAGGTGAACGTGCTGTCTATTGGGTGGCATGTCCAAAGGATCATTCTGAAATATTGGAGGCTAATGAATCAATATCTTGTGCAAGATTGATCTCACTATACCTATAATCAGAGTACTTAGAGTTCCAAAAATTTCAAAACCAATTGAAAAGTCAAACGAGTTACATATAGGGGTTGCACTCTTCTAAGGCTTGCAATCTGTGAGAAAAAGATGAGAAGGAGATCTTCATATTTCATCTTTACTAGTCTGGACCACTGACCGGTTAGCAGTTTTCAACGTGTTCTTCAACTTGGCTTGCAAAATACTGTGCCGGTCATTTCTCTTGTATTGTCATCAACTGGTTGATTATCTGAGTACCTAAAGAAAGAATGTTATATGCATGATTCATTCTGCTGTACTATAAAAGATATAATAAAGAATGCTAGCCGAGGTACTACATAGCCTTTTCCAATAAATAGAAGCTGTAACATGATTCTAATTCATTTTTTTTGCAATATCAGGTTTGGGTGGTTTGTCTACAGCAAAATATCTGGCAGATGCTGGTCACAAACCGATATTGCTGGAGGCAAGAGATGTCCTAGGTGGAAAGGTGAAGAAGATCCAGTCTTTCCTTTAATTTTATTCCTTTTTCTTTTGTGTCCTTCCCTATTGATAGTCCCTTTTCAGGAAGGCTTCTGTTTGTTTTATTTAAAATCATTTTTCATACTCTTTAAACATTCAGTTGCTCAAACAATTGCAAGGGTGTTCACTNTTACTACTAATAAAGTTGGTTGTCGAAAAATTATACAGCATATTAGGTAAAAGATATGGAAAGTATATTATTATCATTCTCTATTATTTTATGATTCAGTCAATTTTACCCGTCCTGTTGGGTGTATTTCTCGTATAAATACAGTCTTATCTGTGAGATGCTATGTGAATTAGCTGTTGTTTTCAGTATAGAACACTATCTTAGTCTGTTTTATCTTACTGAAGCAGTCACCAAGAATCTAGCTGTATAGGCTAAAATATTGAATTAGCATTAATCTTTATCTGTTCTGCACCTGAATACTTATACCTCCCTTTTAGGTAGCTGCATGGAAAGATGATGATGGAGATTGGTATGAGACTGGGTTGCATATATTCTGTAAGTTTGACTCCTCAAGAATGCGTACTTTAATCTTCTAATACAGTCATAGCAATTTCTTTCAAGATCTTTTTTGTCCATTAATCAGATAGCAATCCCTGTTTGTCTTTTGTTTTTTGCAAATAACCAATTTTTGTCAGTCGATCTGTATTCTGCCTTGCCTCTCTTTTTTCATCTGTTAATTTCGTATGGTGACTCATACAAGTTGGTGCATCTCCTTTAAGTTGGGGCTTACCCAAATATGCAGAACCTGTTTGGAGAACTAGGGATTAACGATCGATTGCAGTGGAAGGAACATTCAATGATATTTGCGATGCCTAACAAGCCAGGGGAATTCAGCCGCTTTGATTTTCCTGAAGCTCTTCCTGCGCCATTAAATGGTAAGTACTTAATCATGAGTAAATTTTTTCCCTTCTGTATTGAATATTGATTATGCAAACTTCCCCAGTAAGGTATGAAATTGATTAGTCCATTAATACCTCTGGCGCATTGCTAACATTAAAAGAACATAAAGGTTCATTACGTCTTGATCAGAATTTCTGCATGTAGCTAAAGTGATTGAGTGTATGTACAAATTTTTACACATTGCAAGCATAAGCCAGTTATTGTTATCTCTTATTTTCATTTCTCTAGCTGTATCTCTTATTCTCATTTCTCTATCTATGTGTTATTACTTCTACAGGAATTTTGGCCATACTAAAGAACAATGAAATGCTTACATGGCCCGAAAAAGTCAAATTTGCTATTGGACTCTTGCCAGCAATGCTTGGAGGGCAATCTTATGTTGAAGCTCAAGACGGTTTAAGTGTTAAGGACTGGATGAGAAAGCAAGTGCGTGATCATTTTATCTTACTCTTTTAGCTCATAACCTTGAAGACATAGTTGACTTGCAAGTTGTTGATTTAACATGTTAGAAATGTCTACCTGCCTTTCCTTTTCTAACAACATACATCTTGCAAAACTCATCAGCAGCTATTTGCTTAATTGCTTTTCAGGGTGTGCCTGATAGGGTGACAGATGAGGTGTTCATTGCCATGTCAAAGGCACTTAACTTCATAAACCCTGACGAGCTTTCGATGCAGTGCATTTTGATTGCTTTGAACAGATTTCTTCAGGTTAGAATCCTGATCCACCCTCAAAACAAAAAGAGAGAAAGGGATATAGTCCTACCAAAGCTGTAAATCATGTTTGGGACCTGACATATTGGTGCAGGAAACTTATGAGTGAACTTGTCCACTCAGTTTAACTTTTCTGATATATTTGAATTATCAATTTGCAGGAGAAACATGGTTCAAAAATGGCCTTTTTAGATGGTAACCCTCCTGAGAGACTTTGCATGCCGATTGTTGAACATATTGAGTCAAAAGGTGGCCAAGTCAGACTAAACTCACGAATAAAAAAGATTGAGCTCAATGAGGATGGAAGTGTCAAATGTTTTATACTGAATAATGGCAGTACAATTAAAGGAGATGCTTTTGTGTTTGCCACTCCAGGTATAATATCCATTATACTAGTATCGATGCTTCCAGTTTTCACATTTTTAATATGAATTTATAAATTTTTGCTGGCTTTTGATTATCCGATTAGTGGATATCTTCAAGCTTCTTTTGCCTGAAGACTGGAAAGAGATCCCATATTTCCAAAAGTTGGAGAAGCTAGTGGGAGTTCCTGTGATAAATGTCCATATATGGTTAGTGATGAAAATTTTACTTGTCAGTGTTTGTTCTTCCTCTAGCATATCTATGTATGTGCGTGTAAATGTCTATACGTACATAAACATGTAGTCCTCTGTTTTTGTGTTAACTTCCATTGAATGAGGAACTTATGGATGTACGCTTTTCCAAAACTTTGATTGGACACATTGCTTTGTGTTTTCAACTTTGATGAGCAGAACTACCATTGTTTAGCTATTAGTGGTTGAGATTCCTATTGAAAAGATTTGTATAAATTTAATTTGCAGGTTTGACAGAAAACTGAAGAACACATCTGATAA